GTTTTTCAAAGCTTCAAATCCTTATTCTAATCGCCCTAGCCGTCTAAACCGATTCCTATCACTACCAAACATCAAACAAAGGTCGAGGTACACCAACCTGGATGGTCTAAGACCACTGCATTGCTCCGGCGAGGTCACCGGAGCTCCGGCGAAGAGGTTCTAAAACGTGGCCGACTCGGTTTATGCCATTTTTCATCCACAAATGCAATCAAATACATAAATCATGGTCAGAAACATGTTTTGAACATCAATATACCAAGATTAGTCAAAGCAATCACTCAAACATGCACATCGATGACAAAACCAAATTCTGGAATTTTTCAATAAAGCTGATCGGGAAGAGTTTTTACCTGATTCTTCCAACGATCAGATGAAATTGTTGAACCGAACGGGGCACCGGAGATTGTTCCTTGACTCTCGGTCATCCTCCCGGTGTGCTCGGTTTCGCCGGAACAGGTCCAAGTTGATCGGACAGCACTTGATTTCAGGCCTTCGCGGTCAGGTTTCTCGGCTTGGCACGGCGAGGGGAGGCACGGCCAACTCGTGATTCGCTGGCGCCCCGCCATCTAGGGTGGCGCCGAACACTCACGGGGGAACCTCTAACCCTCTCTCTCTCTAAATTTTTCAATGTTTCGCTCTCTTTCTCTCTCTTCTCTTTCTGGAATTTCGTTGAATGGGTTGTGTTCGTTTCTCTAAGTTTTTCTTGTTTTTTCATCCTTTGATTTCCCGCTCAAAAATCGTTGAAACCGATTCTCAATCGGTTGGGGTCGTTAACCGGTGCTAGCCGGACATTTTCCAGCTGGCCAAACCGATCGACACGTGCGAAAATAGTTGGAAATGTTTGACAAAGTCGCGGGTTTGAGTTAGTTTTCTGCGTTTCTCGCGGGTTGAGTGGTCGGGTGAAGAAGGTGACACTGTTCGGGTCGGGTCGGGTCGACCCGTCTGACCCGACAGTTCCGGTTTTGATAAAAAAAATGCAAATTGGACCTTATTTCGACCTAATTTTTTAAATTAAACCTCAAAATTGCATTCCCCAGCATGTTCTAAACCCAAACATATAATTTTCCACAATTTTTATTATAATTGTGCCCAAAATTTTCTCATTTTTATACTCGGGTTAATAGGGTTTTGCTCAATTCAAGGTCTTAATGACCTGATTAGGCAAATTGATGCCAAAATTACATTGCCCACCCCTGATTAACCCTAGAAATGATAGTCTCACATTTCGGCAATTTCATTTTGGGTACGATTCCCAATTTAGGTTCAAAATTCTTAATTTTCAATCAATTTTTGGGGATTTTTGATTTTTACACCAAATTGTGCAATTGGACTAACCATGATGCAATTAAAGGTCCTAGAATCAATTGTTGTGAAGACACTATGACCTAAAAATGTCTAGAAAAAATTTAATTTAATTTTTGGTTCAATTCGGGTTTAATTTTGCCCAATTTTGGGAAAAACATGTACCCGATTGATATTTTCTAAAATTGACAGTGTATTTATGAAATTGGATTTAAAAGAAGATTAGTGACTATTTTTATGGAATTTTCTGATTCCATTTACTATTTTTCTTGATTTTCTTGCTTATTTTGACCAAAAGAAATTCAGAAAAAATGCAGAAAGTTGCTAAAAAATGATTTTTGGTTTAGAAATAGGTTTCCAGGCTTGGCCAAGATCCCTAGACCTAATTTTGAAATTTTTGAAAATATGACAAAAATGAGCTAAAAATTAGATGTCAACACCAACCTTAGAAAGTAAAATTTGAATTTTTTGGAGTGCCTAAGTGGCATTTTTAGAAAATCTCAAATTTAGGGGTTATAACCCCTAAAAAACCCTAAAACCCTAAAAAATGCAAATCATGTAATGAATAAGCTTCTAAGGTTTCATTTGGGTTTGGATGTTTTGATTGATTTTCATTTTTAGAGACCATTTAGGATTGATTGATTTGATTGACATTGATTGCGCATTTAATTCTTGATTGATTTTCCCGAGATTAGAATGGATAGAATTAGTGGGTAAGCCTTGGAAACTTGCATGACACGTTAGACATCGCATCGTTCTTAAGTACCGAAAGGGCGTTAGGGATCCCGATTTGGGATCATTAGCGTAACCAAGTCCCCGTACTCAGAATCTCTAGTTTGTAGAATCGTGGTATTTCTCCCATACCCTGATTAGGTTTCTAGTCTACCTACCAATAATAATTAGTGGCGACTCCAAAATCAAAAACTTAGACTAAATAAGAAATTGCCATCCGATATCACGTGAGGTATGGTCTGGGAGAGACCCTTACACGGAAATACCTCCTTAGCGCGCAAATCCTGAAAGTCCCAAAAAAAAAAGTACGGCACGACAGCACGTTAAGCACTTGGCCACATGTTTGGCTACGTCCACCTTCGTACCGTTCCACCAATAGTGCTGTCGCAAGTTCTGGTATATCTTCGTGCTACCCGAGTTAATGCTATAATTGCTACGGTGAGCTTCCGACAAGATCTGTTCCTTAAATTCCGCATCATCGGGCACGCACAACCTCCCTCGAAACTTCAAGATTCCATCCTCGGATACTTGGAAGTCCGGTTTCCTCTTGGTGGTATCCATCTCCAGTATCTTTTGGATTTCTTGGTCCGTAGATTGCATAACCTTGATCTTAGTCTGGATTTCCGGTTCAATCCTCAATATTGCAAGTAGGCTCGAAACATGACTCACCTCGAACTTGAACTCTGAGTCTCACACTCCTTCCAACAGAGTCCATTCCTTGACCATCATACGCGCAATGCTTGATTTCCGACTCAATGCATCTGCTACCTTATTAGCCTTTCCAGGGTGATACAAGATATCGTAATCGTAGTCCTTGAGGAGTTCCATCCAACGACGCTGTCTCATGTTTAACTCTTTTTGAGAAAACAAATACCTGAGACTCTGATGATCCGTATAAATTTGAAATTTCTCTCCGCATAGGTAGTGTCTCCAAATCTTAAGGGCGAAGATAATTGCGGCCAATTCCAAGTCATGCATCGGGTAGTTCATCTCATGCGGTCTTAACTGTCGCGATGCGTATGCAACCACCCTTCCATATTGCATTAATACGCATCTGAGTCTTTTTAGCGACACATCACTATAAATCTCATACCCTCCAGGTCCGGTTGGAATTGTCAACACTGGCGCCGTCGTCAATCTTTGCTTTAGTTCTTGAAAGCTCCGTTCGCACTTGTCGGTCCATTCGAATTTTGTTTCTTTCTTAAGCAGATGCGTCAACGGTGTCGCTATTGAAGAGAATCCTTCCACAAAGCGTCGATAATAACCTGCCAAATCGTCGGTCTCGGCCACTTCGTTACGACTTCAATCTTTGTCGGATCTACTGAGATTCCATCCCCAGAGATTATGTGTCCAAGGAACGCCACTCGATTGAGCTAGAACTCGCACTTACTAAACTTAGCGTATAATGCGTGTTCTTTTAAGGTCCGTAGAACTTTACTTAAATGCATCTCATGCTCTTCCGGGCTCTTCGAGTAAATCAATATGTCGTCTATGAAGACTATGATGAACTGATCCAAGAACTCCTTAAACACCCGATTCATTAAATCTATAAAGGCAGCAGGGGCATTAGTTAATCCAAACGGCATCACCGTGAACTCATAATGTCCATATCTTGTCCGAAATGCCGTCTTTGGCACGTCTTCCTTCTTGATCCTCAATTGGTGATAGCCAGTCCTTAAGTCAATCTCAGAAAACACCGATGCTCCTTGTAGCTAATCAAACAGATTATCTATTCTTGGTAGTGGGTATTTATTCTTGATAGTTACCTGGTTCAACTTTCTGTAGTCGATATACAACCTCAATGTTCCATCCTTCTTCCTCACGAACAAGACTGGCGCTCCCCACGTAGACGTACTTGGACGAATGAACCCTTTGTCCAATAATTCTTGCATTTGAACCTTCAATTCCTTCAACTCAAACAATGACATTCTGTAAGGCGCCTTCGAGATTGGCTCAGTCCCAGGGGCCAACTCGATTACAAGTTCTACTTCTCTTTCCGGTGGCAATCCCGGCAATTCCTAAGGAAAGACTTCGGGAAAGTTGCACACCATGGCTATATCTTCCAACTTTGGATTCTCCGCCATCGAATCAACCACAGTTGCTAGAAACCCTTCGCACCCTTCGTCCATCAACTTTGTCACCTCAAGTGACGAAATCCAAGGGATCGAGGTTCCTCCTCGGCTTCCCACAAACTCGAATCTAAGGTGCCCAACCGGATTAAATTGGATGACCCTGTTACCTCAATCCATTATAGCTTTCTTTTTAACTAACCAATCCATACCCACAATCACATCAAAATCAAACATAAGTAAGACTGCCAAATCTATCCTTTCCTCTCTATCTCCAATCACTATCTTACAATCCGGGCATCCTAACGAGATCATCACTTTATCATTCAAAGGCGTGGTAATACATAGCATAACTTCTAGTAGATTCGGTTCAATTCCCGTCAATTTAACGAATTGCTCAGATATAAACGAGTGCGACGCCCCCGGATCAAACAAAGCATATGCAGCATGATCATACAGAGAGACCATACCTGTGACCACGCCAGGCGCGTCCTCAGCTTCCCTTCTCGCCATCGCATATACTCGTCCTTGAGCTGGCGGCCTATTTTGAGTAGCTGGCGGGACAGCTCCCATCTGATTCCCATTCCGGGGCGACTGCGGTAGTACAGGCGGCCTAGCCTGTCTATTGTTGGGGCAGTTCCTCATTTGGTGGCCCGTTCCACCGTATCCAAAACACGCTCCGCTCCTATTTTGAAAGTGGCTCAGCTTCCCGATGTTCTTCCTGACGGGAGGGATAAAGCGTCGATTCCCCGCCATCGGCCTCTTGCCGAAGTGGCGGTTGTCCCTAGCCGGGGTTTACCGCCATCCAGAGGCAGCGGCCCGATCCATCAAATCACGCTCGATTGCCTGAGTCTGGTCATAAATCTCATGATAGCCCCTCAGGTTCAGTGAGATCATCTAACTGCGGAGGTCCGGCTTCAGTCCATCTCGGAACCTCCTGGCTTTATCCACTGGGTCCTCTACCATTCTTGGGGCAAACTTGGACAGCCTTGCAAACTCAGCCTCATATTGGTCTACCGACATCTGACCCTGGCGAGGTCTCATGAATTCTACCAACTTCTGCTCTCGGGCACTTTTCGAAAAATACTTGCCATTAAAAGTCTTAGTAAAAATGGTCCAAGTCAGAGTAGTACCAGCAGAGAACACTTGGCCTCTTATGGCTCTCCACCAATCGCTTGCATTTCCTTGAAGCTGGTATACTGCCAAGGTTACCTTTTCCTCGTCAGTGCATCCCAGCACTTCGAAAGTTTTTTCTAGCTCTTCCACCCATCGAGGTGCAGCCTTAGTATCATCTCTACCATCGAACCTCGGAGGCTTCGGCTTCAAAAACTGTTCAACCAGCTTAGACATCGGCTTATTTGCATTTACTTGGCCCTGAGTGGGATGCCCACCATTCCCGTTGTTCCCATTGTTTTCATTGTTTCCACTGTTTCCATTGGCCCCATTAGCGGCGGCAACAACGGCCTCTGCAGCAGCAGTAACAGTAGCAGCTCGCTCTTGGTTCTGTCTACCCATTAAAATTCCAACCTCCTCAAGTGCCCTCAATATTCCATCCACTCTGGGGTCCTCTGCAACTCTAGCTCGCGAACCCAATCGGCCTCCTGTCCCTCTTCGTCGGTTGCTCATTGTTACATGGTTCTCACCACTCACCTATATGCTATAATTCCATCAAGGAATTAGAGACCTAGGCCAACTATTCAAGTTTATTGTCCTAGGCTGTAAATCACAACAACAATTCACCAAGCAAGCAGCCAATCACATACAACACTCAATCGCAGCCAATATGGTTCGTGCACTTACCTCAAGTCCTGACGCACATGCACTTCACACATTATTGCATAAGATAACTCAGCAACCACAATCACACAGTCTGGGGGCACGCATGGTACACGAGTCTCCCTAACTGGCTACCCCAAAGTCATCGCTCCTTATCACTCCAGGCTTCGACCAACTTGGATCGAGCTGACCTTACCCTTATACCAAATCAACAGGGATGTCACGCCCCGAACCTCAATGAGCGCGCGATACCCCTTCTTGGGTTGATTAAGAACGCGACGTCCTAGGACGCATCGCCGACCCAAACTAAATACCCACATGAATACACAAGCGAAAGCAAAATATAACAACCCAGACAATAGACAATGACAGAGGGATAATAACAGCATAAAACAATAATTTCATAGCAATTGAAAAATAGTCACTTACAACATTCGGCCAGACAATCAGACATTAGGCTCCTAGGGTTAACATCCACCATTATCATAAAAAAGGGACAGGTGGTCAGGTAGACTAGCTGGTTACACAAAAGGGGCTCTACCAAAAGCTTCTAAGCCCAGTACCCAAACATTCCCACGGCGCTCAATCTGAATCAGACCCTGAAGACTCCGACTCCGTGTCAGAGTTGATCTCGATCGGCTCTTCCTCGTTACCCGGCTCCTCCTCTGGCTCAAACTCCTTGGGCTCTGGCACAGGCTAGGGCTCTTCTTCAGGTTCGGACTCCTCAAATTCCTCTTCGAGCTCGAGATCCGCAGGCGCTACAGATTCTGGTACGGGCTTGGGTTCGGGACCAGGGTCTCCAGGGGATCTTCGGGGTCTAGAATCTCACCATCAGGGGCATGCTTCTCAGAAGGCTTCCAGTCTATGGCATCGTCACCGCCGTGGTGTTGCCTGTCGAAACCACGAATCGGGCCGATAGTCTCTAACCCCTCGCGATAAAAACAAGCCAAATAGGTGTGGCGCTGCAATTCAGCCAGGCCCTCGTTTACCCAGACACTACCATAGTGCCTAATATAAGTCTGGTCTACGCCCACCGGATACTCGATCTCCACATGAACAGTATGTATAGGGACCCCAAAACGCCGAGGTGGCATAGTGAAAATCGGGGATCTGAAATGGTTTATAATTCAACTATGAGAATAAATCTCAATAAGCAGACAACCTAAACCCCACATAGGCCAACGCATACCCCAGACAAGTCTAAGCATTCACTACGACAACCAACAGACCAAATTTCACACTGACTTCCTTACTTGGCATCAAATCACGCATAGCCCCTGCACATTAGCCAAATCACTATAATGCAATAGCATCTCACCACACATCGCATTCCACGCAACATCGTACACATACGAATTCACTCAAACCATCCACGACCCACATAACACACATCAGGTCCTTTCATTCAACCCGTGTCAACAAGCCTCAGGTTATCAGCCCTTCGATCTATCCGGGCACTGTCCCGCGTCAACACGCCTCAGGACCAATCAATCCTTGCGTAAACACACATCAGGGCCTTTCAAATCACACACACCACATGACCCAACAATTCCTTGTCATTCACACATTCAAACCACACTCAACTTGCTCATTCGCCAATCACTCAATCAATCTGTTTAAACATCCAATCCACCACAATTTTCACAAAATGCACCATACTAAATCAAGCGCACAAAGGCCTCGATAGGCCATCGAACCCGGCCCCCAACACAGCACATCCAACGCAATTTAGGTATAAAATCACACATGGGAAAAAATCACAAGTCAAACCGCCACTCAAACACATTTGTTTCAACAATGAACAACCAATGCAAATTGCCACTAATCGAACATTAATTCACACACGAACTATCACATATTTAAGCCCTACTTCGAGCACCAATCGGTCCCACAAATCATCACACAAAACGGCCCTTGAACCTCTACAATTTAGCCCACATTTGTACCACAAATCAGCCAGCACACTCAGTCACAAACAGCCACATTTGCACTACAATTCAGCCACCACATTCAGCCACAAATTGCCACTAAATTAGCACATAACAGCCCCTAATTCCACATTAATCAACCCCTAAACAAGTCTAACAATACCCGATTGTCCTAGGTAGGGTTTAGGGAGTCGCTTACTCAAGTCCAAAGTCGAGAGCGAGCCGAGTGAGGCAGCGAATCGCCGGAACAGGGCTGCGGCGACCGGAACAAGGGCGGAAGCAGCGGCGGCCTCAGCTGACTCGCGAGAATGGCTAGTAAGGCAGCGGTAGGGGCTCGGCGGCAGCAAAGGCGAGTGGCCGGCTCACGGGTGACGGTGGCGGCGAGCAAGAAAAGAAGCAAGAACAGCCGTGTCGTCACCGGAACAGGGGAAGGTGAACCGAGACAGGGGAAATGGTGCAGGGGGCTTTGCCAGAATAGCAGCAGCGACGGCGAAACTGCTAAGGGCTCGGCCGAGGTATAGCGTCCCACGGCGGCGATAGGCCAGGCGGACGATGGGTGGAGTAGCAGCTGTTCAGCCAAGGGGGGTTCGATTGGGCCGGATCGAAACAGGGGAAAGGAAAGCAGGGGAACCGGCGAGGAAGCAATAGCGGCATCGGCGGTTGAGTACGCGGCGGCGGGCGGCTCCGGCGGTGGAGTGGACGGTGGCGTGCGGCGGGGCTCCGGACTGCAGGCACGAGCGCGGAGGGGGGGAGGAGAGAGAGAGAGAGAGATTCTGACAACCCCATCTACCCTACTCAAGTTTGATCCAATGGCCACCAATGCATCTTGATGGACAAGCTAGGATCCAAGGGCTGACAAAATTCCACACTTTCTAATTAATAGAAAAGGCTAAATGGCACAAAAGTAAATAAGCAAAGCGGAAGGGGTAAAATGGTCAATTTCTGCACTCAGTCCAAACTTCACTTTTCCGATAAAACGAACAATCCTGAGGTTGGCCACATTTAATTCGACGTCGTCTAATTAATTTTGTTGTGAATCTCCGAGAAATTTGACACCCAAGTTCGGATTCAAATAACGATCAAATTCACTCAAATGCGACTTTAGGGAATCTCTTACTAACGGGCGGCTTTAGGAGTTACGCGTATCGACTTTCGGTTACCCGAGCCATGCCGACCTTGATTGTTAGGAATTTACGAGGGTCAATCGCTAGTTCCGAAAGATGCGACCCTTTGAATTAAATTTTGGGTCGTTCGCGATTCACACGATGGCCAAGCGGATTCACTCGCGATCCAATCGTATTTTATTAGCGACGAGCCCATTACCATTCTTGGGTCGTGGCCCAAAATATTCCCTCGACAAATCCTTATGATCGAAGTGTCGTACCATGGTCAAGCTATTTAGGTCCACGTACATTTTCCCTACTTAGCCTTTCCCTATCAGTTAGTATCCCGAGAATGATCAGTTCTAGGCGAGATTTAACTGCAACGCATTGATGAATATACTTATTTCATTAATCCCAAAAGTGGGTCGAAATTTGGAATGTCACATAACTTGTTCAGCAATTTACTAGTGCAGTCCAGCCCAACTTGTGGCTGTTAGTGATGAGAGTGGACATAGGCTTGGAATCAAAGTTGAACCACTATATATTCATGTGTGCAGCCGTTTATTCTCCTGCTTATTATTTCTAGCACATAAGCAAGTCATGGTTTCTTATACATCTGGTTGAACCCGATATTTTCTTGTTACTTGCTGTTTTTCTGCGAAAAGTTTAAAAATCATTAAAGCTACCTATTCACCCCCCCTTTAGGTTGTAGAGTTAGTCACAACAATTTCGGTCTATCTTAGCTCCTAATATGGCCATTGGAGCCTTAAGGTGCAAAACCAACGAAGCTGACAAGTTATAGCGATGCCTTGTTAACGTAGGCTCATGAGATCTTGCAATAGTTGTCATGGAAATGTGTCGAGGTAAATAAAGCATTGCAACTTTAGAATCTTGTGGGTTGTGCAAATGTTTATTTCACATAGGAGTGTCACGCCCCGACCCTTAAGCACGCTAACATCCCACCAATGGTCGTGTAATGGCAACGTCCCAGAACGCGTTGCCGACCCAAATGAATAACATCGATCAAATAAATGCATGCGGAAGTGTACTTAAAACCCCAACAACAAACAACAAATCGGGATAGCAGGGAAAACACTTTGAGATACGAAACGAACAAAGCCATTTTATAAACATAATGTTAACCTTAGGAAGATACATAATTACAAGCCTATTATAAGGCCACTTCCTTACCAACCACGCACATACAAAAAGGGATTTGGATGATCGGGTTAACCTAACTTCTCTATCCAAAAGGTAGTAAAAAAAGTGGGGTATTCCAAAACCCATCACCACATTTGGCCATAATTGGGAAGAGGCTTCGGGTCAGATTCTTCTTCATTCGGATCGGACTCCGGATCCGTAACTTCCCCATCCTGCGGGTCGATGTCCATGGGATCCCACACCTCTTCCCCGAATCCACTATTAAATAGTCCATCAAAACCCTTAATAGGCCCGAACAGTCCATCACCATCCCTAAGAAACCAAGCCATACACTCATGAGACTTCCACATTGCCAAGCCCTCATCCACCCAGACGGTGGTAGCATGCTTCTAGTACGCCTTATCCGGTCCAACCGGATACTCAAATATAACTGTGCCCATGTCCAAGGGCACTCCAAAATGAGTGGGAGGTCGGTTCATAGACGGGGGTCTGAAAATAGTTAAACAACAACAAATGAGATATAATCTCAGCAAGTTAACGATCTAAGCCTCGTTTAGGAAGTCAACTCGCCTTGGATGCATCTAAAACATGTAGCGTTCTAATGATGGCAGATCAATAGCAATGTAATCCCTTGCTTTGGCTTAGTTATACATAGTGT